TATCAAGAGAGTTTTAGATAGCTAAAGGTGTACATGGCCTTTATGTCAGCTAAACATAGAGGAAGTGAAAATTGGATTCATAGAGAAGGCAGGCTGTCAAGAGAGTTAGAGGTCAGTTTAAAACAGACATAGCTGTATGTAACATTTTTTCAGACTGTTCCACTGCCACATTAAATAAATAGAAAAAAACAATGGAAAGGCTCAATACCAATACGTTCATGCACAGTGTCACTGAGCCTTAGCATATTTTGGAAGAATAAGAATGGGCCAAGAATAGAGCCCTGTTGAACTCTACGGGCCATGTCTAACTTAGAAAATTATTATTTTGTTGTCACTTTTTGCAACTTCTCCACTAGATGCCACTGAAGCTTACACACTGGCCCTTTAAGTATGATGTTGGAAGAAGTCATTGTGTGTTGAGTCATTTTGCATGTTTTCACCCACAGACCCCCTGTGTACTCGCTACATGGAGTTTGTATGTAAGAATCGAGCCCAGTGTCTGTTTCAGTCCCTGGTTTGTGACGGGATCAAGCACTGTGAAGACGGTTCCGATGAGGACGCAGAGTATGCTGGATGTGGTAAGGAGCACTTACATGCCTTTACTGTATCACCGTATTGTTTTTGAGAAAGACCTCCACTGATTACATTTGTGTCTTGATAAAGATGATGATGATGATAGCTTAGAGCTGAAACACATTCGGTTTCTTTTGGGGGTTTTTTGCCCTCAATTAACAAGATGTTTATCTGTGAGTGCCGGTAGCCGTTTGTTTTGTCCCTTGACCATGCACACAATACATTGGTACAGTTTTGGAGCTGTTCTATCTACGTTTGTTTCCTATCCTTTAATCCCTGCTTGTAGCCTTTTTACAATCCTTGGAAAACTATAAAAGAAGTCATCCTAAAAGCAGGTCTGGACAGAAGTGCAACATGTTTTGACTGTTTAGATTCTATAAACTGTTGATTTGTGGGAATGCGATCAATATGTTTTTGGTTAAAGGGCCTTGAGTGTATAGGTGCATACTCTTCCTATCATTTGTTGCCTTAGAATGGGGAAAAACTGCACTAACCTACAGTACCTATATCAGTTGAAGGTATACAACCAACAGTGATGTTTATGAAATATGAGCTGCTAAAAGAACTACACTGTCCAAAGATGAAAATGAAGTGTGATGGGATCAAACATTTAACAAAGTTAACTGGAAGTCACACACCTGTGCAGGGACATTGAATCAGGTTTATGTGTCAGCAGAATGTGATGTTTGGATCTGTTTACACAGCAACAAGCTGTTCAACAACAGCTGCTCTGTGAGTCACTTGTTTTTTTGGTTGTAAAACTAGTTCTGTAGTATCAGTTTGTCTGACCATGTATCTCTTTGTGTTTGTGTTCCTCTGCCAAACTTAATGCTACTGGATTCTTATCTGACTTAAACTAAAATCTATTCAAATCATGTAGTTTATTATCTGAGTTTATGATCATTGTGTAAGGGGAAAATCACACAAATAGATGAAGAAAAAAAATTTAAATGTATTTCCCTAAAACTCCCAAATTTGTTACTTAGTTGAGTTTGTTAAATAGCATTTTATATATTTTCCTCACATTTTTAAAACTCATTAGCTGCTTATTCGTACATTTCCATCAAACAAACAAGCAATAAAACTTATCCTGCTTCACACCTTCAATGTAATACATACATTGAGGGTGTACACCCCTTTTTTTCAGTGCTATGCTGCAACAGACTGATTTGTGTACCCTGCTAACGTGCCCCTGTGTTTTCTCATAGCCACGCCGTCTGAGTTTGGCAAAGTGTGCGACGCCTACACCTTCCAGTGTGCCAACGGAGTGTGTGTGAGCCTTGAGTGGAAGTGTGACGGCATGGACGACTGTGGGGATTACTCTGATGAGGCCAACTGCGGTGAGGAGGAAGGGTTTATGCAGAAATACTCAAGAGCGCAACTATTGTTTATCGTTTATTATACACTGTATACACATTTTGAACAGATACACAGTAGGTTAATTTTGTTGCTGCTGAGTCTTCTGAAGAGTTATGTGGAAGCAGCAGTATCTGATGCTAACGGTTGCTCTGTGTGCTACAGCTGCTCCCACTGAGGTCCCGGGCTGCTCCAGGTATTTCCAGTACGAGTGTAGAAATGGACGCTGTATACCAACGTGGTGGAAGTGTGACGGAGAGAATGACTGTGGGGATTGGTCTGATGAGGCCCAGTGTACAGGTACAGTTAGTCCGTCATAAGGCTACTTGGTTGTTAAAAGCAACATAAGCATTTAGTATAAGTTATAAGTGACATCACTTCCTATAACCTTAGTATTAACAATGATAAACTCCCTTGTAATCTGTTACAGCACACCATGTAAAGCGACGTCCTTAGTTTGACGTGGACCGTCACACATTGTACCCTTATCCCTCTGTTTTCCATCACTGTCTAGTAATTAAAGGTCTCCTTCCCCCCCCCCCC